ATATTGCTTAAATCTAGCTTACTGTGGTATAAACCTAACAAATGCGGCTTATTCATCCAACCAGGATGAAAACAAACTATATACGTATGTGTATATTTGAAAAAAAGAAAAGAAAAAGTAGGGGGAGGCAGCTGTCTAGCTGGACTTATCTGAACCTTGAGGTATAATGAGATGGAAAGTAAGGTGTCTGTTCCTTTTTTATATAAGTGTGTTCCATATAACTTGTAGCTATGTAAAAATAAAATAGTTTGATTGTGATGGCCAGTATGTTTATTAGGTTTTGTATGTGGGTTTTTACTTCTATAGGCTGCCCAGGGTCACCATGAATTGGGCAGCCCTATACATTTTGTTACTAAATAAATAATCAATAAGATTTGAGGTTTCTAATAATTTTTTTCATTAAAAGTAATTAAACAAGACAAATTCACCTCCCATTACTCTAGGAAATAGGAATTCATAATGGTACTGTGGCAATAGCACATTATTTCTTTTGATAGACAAGAACTGCTGAGTCAAGATGGAGGGTATATTCCAAGCAGAAATTACAGTAACCTTAAAAGTTGCTCAACAAAACATAATAGCCACATTGGGTCCAGCAATTACAAGAAATAAAAGCTAGCTTGGAGGGAGCAGTGTAAAGATTCTACCAGGGTAGAAACTAAGGAGAGCCATATGGTAGATGAATTGGCTTTAAAAAAAAAAAAGTGAGATTTTTTTCCCCTTCAGAATTCCATAGGGATTAGAAAAAAGAACTGAAATGGGATCTTTCTTCGTCAAAGAAAACATCACTACACCAATGTGGTGTTATGTGTATTGGTGATGCTTAGAATTGCCCTAGGTACAATGCAATTCTCAGCTCTAAATCTGTGCTCAGGGGAGAGAAGAGAGCAAAGAGCAGTGGAGCAAACAGTCTCCAAACCAAGAATTCTGAAGGAGGAACCAGAATGAGACACTTCACAATATACATGCAGGAAAAGACTCTTGTTATTGACAGGCATCCATGGGATGAGGTTTTATAAAAGGCAAGACAACAACAATATTGGAGCCCTCTCTTTTTTGATGTGTGTCACACTTTTTGATGCTCCCTTTTTTAAGCTGGTACTAGAAAGGGGTTAGGGCTCGGGAATGGCTGATGATCAGAGAAAGAGAAGTGGTACTATCTCTGACAGGGGTCACCAACCTTTCAGACCTCAGGAACCATTAAATTCATAATTTTAAATCCCATGGACCGCTAATATGGGTTTATTTAAAAAGATAAATAGTATTTAGTGCAATATAAAAAATGCAAATAATTTTTCTGCGGACCACCAAAATTTTCTCACAGACCACCAGTGGTCCACAGACTACCAGTTAGTGACCACTGATCTATGAGACGTTGTCCAGAGTTGGGTAGCTACCCTATTTGGATTGTATGAAGATTATCATTAGATTGAGATAACAGTCCTTTGCAGCAATATGCAACTCTGTTGTAAACAGACCTTTAATTCTCTTTTAAATGAGAGGCTAGTTGGTGAAATAGAATCATAAACTTTTCCCTACAAATTAATCTCACATCTTTCTTAGTGATGAAATCATTTATTATTTCAAGTTTTAGTTGGGGATTATTAAATTATCACTGCATTTACAAATTGCAATTCATAAATATAATAACATAATGCTAGTTATTGCAAATATATATTTCTTGGGAAAAGGTAAGCTTTTCATTTCTATCCTGGTAGAATTCTTGACAGTATTATTGGTGAGACCTAAGAAAGAAAAAGATCAAGAGCCACTGATGCAAATACCTGTCTCCTCACCAAAGGTGGAATAATTCAGAAACAAAGTAGACTGAGAAGTCTATCTACTTTATTTTGAAATCATAGTTAGTGTGAAATATGAAGGAAAGTGTGATTAACCAGGTGGTGGTTGCAATAGAGCAATACTGCATAATTTAATCCTACCCGCCCTCCCAAACTATGATATCAGAATCCTTTGCTTTAAAATTTGGGTCAACTGAGTCAAGTATCAAAAATCAGTGCAAGAGTAAAAAAAGAAAGGAAGAGAGTGGGACAATGTGTCTATGTTTCAGAAGCTTAAGGCAGGAATGCATATATACCCCAGGAAACAGATTCCATCAAAGGATCACTTTACTAAGACAATCTGAATGGAACTTTCACTGAGCTTCATAGAAATGTGCTTAACCTCTTTTGTCCTTTAGCAGAAAATGCAAAAAGGAGGGTATTAAATCTCTGTAAATTTCTAACTGAAGAGAAATTCACCCAAGGAAAATATGTAGGTGTAGATAGATAGGATTAAAAGTTTCAATAAATTCTATACTGTAAAAGGCCTTGCGTGTCTAGGAAGAAAAGAAACTTGCTTCACCTGTTACAAATAGCAAATGTTAGTGATAGTGCCTGAGGTGATTTTTTTTTTCTGGAATGCAACTCCAGTACTATACCTTGAGATTCTTTGTATATTTGCCTTGCTCATGTTAACAAAATGCTATTGAAACATTATTATGCTATTAAAACATTATTATTTTTTAAATTGTGGACAGCCCAAAGTCATGTATATGAGGTGGGTAGCCAATGAATTTACTAGATGAATAAATAAATAAATGCTCTAAGTGAAGGAAGACTAGGATTAGGATAACTGCACTTCATATTTTAATTTACATTTTGGCAGCAACACAAATGAGCCCACTATTAAAAGAAAATTACCAGTACCTTCAGCTCCCCCCCCCCAAAGTACATTCCTGCTTTTTATCTCCTTGATTTTTGTTAGCCTGTTCTATTCCCTTTTAAACAATCCTTTTACTTTCTTTCAGTTTGCAAAGGCTGTTGGGGTATATTTTGGATGAAGAGTTGGTTAGATAAAAAGACATACTATGGACAAGACTGGAGCCAAATATAGACTTCCCATATTTAAACCCTTCCCCAAAATATACCCCAACAGCCTTTGCAAACTGAAAGAAAGCAAAAGGATTGTTTAAAAGGGAATAGAACAGG